AGCATTCAACGAGCGCTTGCTCCATCAGATGGGTGCTCCACCAAAAAGGCGGAAAAGGGGCATCTTGATGCAAAGCACTCAAGGCAAGCTACGGATGAGGTTTTTGCTAGGCATAGAGGGCATACTTCCCACAAAACGCGAGAAGCCTTTTGCACAGGAGAAGATATTCATTCATCTCGGACCTCCTTCGTTTTCTAGGCTTAGCCAAAATCATAACCTCTGGCTCACAAATGTTTGTCCGCACCACTTAGTACAAAAGTGATAAGTAAAGGTGAAAAGTAGTGCAAAATTAGAAAAGGGACAGAATGGCGTAGGAGCAGAGCTTACGCAGAAGTTACTTCTTACTCAAAATTGAAATTACGTAACAGGCAGAACGATTGCACCAAAAGCCTTCTCCTCAATCAACGACCGACGGAAATACGCTCTATTTTGAAGCGCCACTCTTCTCCCAAAGGAAGGAAATATTATGGAAGAAATCGTACAACATACCTAGTCCATTCAACCTTGAGAACCATGTGGTGCTTTCGTATTCCGTTCAATTTGGCTATCGCTCGTTCGGCATCCTTAAACACAAAACGTTAAGCACACAGAACAATATTACTATCTTTGAAAATATATGTCAGAAAGTCACCTCTCGCATTTCATAAGTGACGAAAGCGAATCCTTTCGGCTGATTTGTGATCTTATCTCTAGCAATAAACACACGCTAAATAGAACGATTTAGAATGCGGTTGCCTCTATGCACAAATGAAGATAACGCCTATTAAGAATACTTCGGATGATAAATCGTACCACGACTCTTCCAATGGCTGCAAATAGCTCTCGAAGTTCGGCTTCTTCCATTTCTTGAGGAAGGTTTGTCACTCTGCAGGTGTTCTCATCGGACCTGTAATATGAAAATGGGAACATCATATGTAACGTTAGGAGCCCAATGCAGCTCAAAATTCATAGAGCAGAGGCACTGGAATTACCGAAGTGTTCATCTTACTCTACCCTCTACATGGCTTGGCAGAGCCGAAAGTTATATTGAAATGACAAGTATAAATGTAGTTTCCTGAGCTAAGCATAGAAACAGACCTAAAAACCAAGAACACTTCATTGCCATGAAGAACACCTCTCTTTGCACACGCTACATCTAGAGAGAGGTGGAAGGAGGGGAGTGGGAAAGCAGCAATTGGTGCCGCTAGCACCCAACGTGTGCGCAGATAAAACCCTGTACCGTAGCCCGCCTAGGCCCGTCAAACATCCTATTCTCTGGGTTCCACTGAGTGGGAGCTTGTACGGAAGGTCAAAATAAGTGACTTGTCCGTTGACTGTGTCATCAAAAAATGGTGATGAATACGCCAGAAATATACCGTCAAATAAATATTGCAGGTTCAAGGCGCATTCGAGAGAAACTGACCGACGCCGAGCGCTTTATCCTTTTAAATGAAGAATAAGTTTCAAGTAAAGCTCACCTTCGATCTACTTGCCGAGCATCTCCGCGATTCTGGAAGCAATACCGACCGCCAGCAGCAGCTGCTGCACGCTCCTTCTCTGCAGTTTCTGCTGCATCGATTTCTTCATCCACTTGATACATCTCCTATATTGCATTTAATTGGTAAAAAAAATGAAATCTATAAAGGGGTAGTTATCGGAAGAGATGGTTACTCAAAGTCAATGAATCTATTAAAGTTGCTTGAGTTTTCAAAAGGCATACCTTGTATGGGCAGTTGTGCTCAAGTGTCGTTTCTTTGCAGGGACGACAATTTCTCTGCCTCGTGACTATTGGCAAACCTCGAATGAGTCATCAAAGACCTGATTCAATATTCTCTGTAGTAAGGATTTTGCGCCAAATCGCACCAAGAAAACCTCTAAGAAAGTGCCAGCTTTCAGGATTAGGACACAAAGGAATTAGAGAACTCACTGCTTGTTTATCCTCTTGCACGTCCAGAATCTGTTCTCCGGCACGATTTCTAGTGAACTGCATTTCCACTTCTTCAGCCACGTAAGTAGTGGAAACCTAAAAAACTGTGACCACAATTTTCAAAAAGTTTCATCCGAAAAAAAAGTCGTTGCAGCTAAACTTCGTGACCTCTTTGAATACCCGCTGTTCCATTAGGTTGACCCATAAGTAGTGTCGTTTTTTTTCAAACAAAAAATTTTTCTACTAAGATCCCATGCTTTTACATCAGCTTATATACCATTCGAAAGAGAATTGTCTGCTCTACAAGATGCTATGTTTTCTTCCACCTGTTCCAGGGTTTTCAAATTTTAGGCCTGCGAAATGGGAGGTCCAGCCGACAAAAATTGACCAAACCGACAACTAGCTCTAACTTTATTTTCCCTTCGGAGAAATCAATCAATGATGTACCCTCTACTTACTCATGACCTCTTCTGAACATTCCACCCTTAGGTTGCCGAAAAAGTTTGCCCTGTTTCTTTTCGAATTGGCCTGACCGATAAGCCATGGCAATTTTCAAATTGAAATTCTTCCTCTGAAACGCCATTGTTTTATATCAAGTCAAATGTCCTTTGCAGGCATCTTCCCTGCTTCCATTTTTTTCATTCTCGTTATGAATTAGGTTGAATTTTAGGTCTGCAAGAAAAGGTGTTCAGCCCACGAAGATGACCACATCACTTTGGAAAAAAATTTCCCTCGAGAAGATGCGAAAACCAACCTGGCTTGGATACGACTTGAACTTAATATTCCACTAGTTTTTCCATGTCTCGGCAGTGTAAAAATTCCCACCAAATTCTAAAGAGATGATGTTTGACCGCCGAGTCCAGGTGATGAAACAAACCAAGAAAAGAAGCGACACCATTGTTGTCGAGTGGAGAAACCTATTGCCGGAATGTTCAGGAGAGGTCGTGACTAAACAGAGAGTTCATCACTAATTGATTTCTCCTACGGTAAAAATAGAGTTAAGGCTGGTTGTCGGCGACGAATGCGGAAGCGGAACACAGCTTTTGTGCAGGCAATTCTCTTTCAAATGGTGATATGGTTCGATATGAAACACTGGATCCTCAGAGGAAAATGTTTTGTTCGAATAAAACGACACTACTTATGGGACA